CAATCTGACCAATCACCGCAGATTAGCGTCACACAAAGGACGGGTTTGGAAAAATGAATCGTTAAACGAATCGTTTGGGAGTTGTTGAGCAAGTACGGTAAAAATGAATGCATATTATAAGACAATGAAAGTGTTTTTTGACCTTGCATGCATGTCAACCTGTTGTTGGGGACTCCCAAAACCAAAATATGAACCTTTCATAACCCATAATAGGGGCACTTTAACAACTACCTCACTTACTATTAATAAGCAGTAAATTAGGAGTTTATCGAGGCAAAAGTCGTAGTTAATGCCTTGTTAATAGCGAGAATTGGACCTTAAAATAAAGTGACCAAATAAATGTATAAGTTGAATTTATTTAAATATTCTGTATAACTCAATAATGTTAAGAAAAAATCAAATGATGTGACCATAAAAGTTCAGTATCTATATCAATTTTCTGTTAATAATATCAACAGCAATTATTTCTCTGTTATCACAGGGAAGTTGTCTTTAAAACTATAAGGTTTTGACGAGATTCTTCATAAATATCAGGTCGGAGCAAGTTAAATATGTGTTAAATGTTATGACTATAAAGTTTATTACTTGCAATTTCTGCTGGCCAAAACAACAGTACATTTATTCATTTAGCAGACATTTTTATCCAAAGCGACCTCCAGATGAGGAACATCACAAACAATTTGTCATGGAGCAAGCTAGAGCAGAGATGAAATGCAGAGATTTTTTAATACAATAATTTCTATAATAAATGGGAGTGTATAGTAGTAAATAGGAGTTATATTAAGGTTTATTTTTGTATGTTACCAGAACTAACAGAAGCCTGCATGTGTTAATAGAGTCATTGGGATTGTGTCATCGTCCCTCAACCATTCTGCTCCCTCACTGAGAGCCGCAAGCCGTGAAACATCACTTGTGATCTCTCACCCTAGAGACGACCCTCATTTCCCATCTGTGAGTGGCCTTCATTGCCATGAGCTGCATTAGTGCTTTGATTGTCTCTCATGCTGCCATCTTTTATGACTGAGGTGGCGTCATTCAGATGAACATCAGAGACAGTGAAAGTATGACATGGGAATAGAATTGCAAGTAGAGAACTGCAGATAGCACGACTCTAATCTCACTCGATTCCATGCGTTTTTGTTGCGTTCAGCATCTGTGGGTTGGAGATGTTGGAGTCAGGAGAGGCGGTAGATAAGCCTGCGGCAGCATTGTGCTGGATGCACCATGTTATTGCAGGCAAAAACAGAACAGAAGAGTGCCGCTCGCTCTAGAATACAGCAGGGGAAATATATTACTGTAGATGAGTCAGAGGCTTTAATGTATATGAGAACATGCAGTGTGTGGGGGTGCGCGAGAGAGATGCTTTGCATGTCTGTATCTGTGTATGATGTTCCATGTACGTTTGCCATGAGACGTTGTGTCTAATTCAATCGAAAAATACAATCTAGAACACTCTTATAAAGTCTGTCTTCTTTGTAAAAGACTTGCACGACTGTTTCTGAAGAATAAACCAAATAAGGGTAGCGCTGTGATCCAAGCTCTCTTTGACATCTGTCTCAAATAACTTCTCTCATCGTTGCATTGCTCCCAGACATTTCTGCTTTCGCTTGCTGTGGTCCGGAGATGAAATTGAATTGGGGTTGTGCACTGGCCTCTGTGCTTGGCAAGTGCTCTGTGGCAGAGCAGTCAAGAATTCACAGATTTGAGCTGTGTTGTTTTCTGAAAGATTCAAGAGAATCTCCATGTGGAATCTCCACTTCAGTTCTTGAAGATGATGTTAAAGGCACCACAAGCGATCCAAATAGAATTGCAAAAATAGCCTTGTTCAGACTGTCAGTTCAAATCCAATTTTTGTGCATATCCGATTGGAATCTAATCATATTTAGCAAGTGTGAACGGCAAAAAAAAAAAAAAATCACATTGAGTTTTTTACAAATCTGTTTCAAGCTACATTCATATGTGGTTTTGAATCCTATTAAAATCCTATTCTGCCGCTGCCTCATAATATCATCCAGCGCGACAACAGCATGTCATCATGTTGTAAGACAACATTTGTACTGCAAACTGTATTGCTGTTATTGTTGTTTTTTAGCGTAGGCAAAGCAACGCAGTGTCGTTGCCATAGAAACCAATGCAAATATTTAGTAAGAGTGCCACGGGACACACAAATCGGCTCTGAACAGTTGTGAAACACAGTGTGGACAGTCAATCATTTAAAGGGGGCACAACACACACAGTTTCACCCAATCTCATGTTAATCTTGAGTGCCTACAGAGTAGTACTGCATCCTTCATATCTCCAAAAAGTCTTTAGTTTGATCATATTTATAAAAGAAAGGTACAGCTTTACGATTCTCTCCGGAAAAAGCCGAGCTCCTGGAGGCGCGCCGTGGGTGGAGCTAAAGAGTGACGAGCACTTGGGCGCCGAATGCCAACAAAACAGACATTTGATGCCGTTTCACTTACCGTCTGCAGTTCTGAATCATGACCAGGATCTTTTATAGCTGGGACCGCTCCATCTTTCAGTATCAAAC